AATGCATTGACTGCAGTTGTATATTGTTTTATTTTCATTTTATTAAATTATAGGCTTTAATTAATAGTTCACATTTTCCTTAATCTACTTATATATCTTATATTTTCCTTAATTTACTCTTATAATACCATATTTAAGGAATTAAAGTGTATTAAATTGTATGTTTTAATGAAACCATGTGTCAAAATTATTGCTTGTTTTTCATTTATTAATTCTACGATATCGCAAAATCGGTTGCAATCGTAATACAAGGTATTCATTTTTTTTAGAAATACATACACTTTTGAGTTTGCTTTACTGAATCCAATCTCCTCCACAAGACCATATTGCGTATATTCCCCATTGTGCCCAATTTCTAACACAACATTAGCTTTAATAATGACATTGCAAAAAGAAATCCATTTATAAAATTCAACATCTTTATCTTCATTTAATAATTTTTTAAACATTTGTGAATAATTTTGAATTTTTGGCCCAAATGACTTAATTTTTTGCGAAATGTTAAATGTTTCAAAATCAGTTTTTTGTTTTAATGTATACCGTTTCAATATTGATAAGCATATGTTTGTGCGAGATTTTGTTGATCTTGCAATTTCTTTAAAAACTTTATGCTTACTCTCAAAGCGCATTGACCATACTTGCGTTAGAGGTCCAATATTTCGAATAACCCTTGGATAGTGTAGCATTAAATGGTGTTTGGGTCTTAGAGGCAGTTGAAAAATTTCTACAAACATTTTATGGTGCTCTGTAATAAGTATTTCTAATTGAGAAATCATACTATTTGAAATAGAATCTGAGAGAATAATTTTAATAATTTCCATTAAGATTTTGAATAATTCCCATTTACTGTCATTTTCAGGAATCCAATCACCAATTATTATTCCCAGATATTTGGAAAAAACCATCATTTCTGATGCAGAGTACCGAATTTTCAATGTTTTTAAATTATCGAGACAAAGTTGGGGTGGCCTATTTAAGTTGTGAATATGTCCATAATCAAAAAAATTTATTCTGTTATTGATATCATCGATTGTGAAATATTTTTCTGTTCGAATGTAGCTTAATATAATTAAGGATATTTCCAAATTTAAAATGCCTTCGAAAATGTCATGCATAACATCCACTGAATAATTTTCTACAGCATGAAAATCTCTTAAAACATTGAAATTACATTCAGAAACAATACCAGTTTCTTTAGAAGATTTGCTTTTTAAATGAATCTCGTAATTTCTTTTATCTCTAAGATAACTTGGACTTTCAGTTAATGACTTCTGCAGAATATCTTTTTTAAGGGTGCAAAATCTGCACCAATAATTCGAGCTAAAACTTTCGGTAAATCCAAGCATTGAATTAATGCCTTTATTATCGCCGACACACACCGATAGTACGAAATATATTGTGCGGTCTTGAAACGTAATGCCATTTGATTCTAAAGAAATTAATTCGGAAATGACAGGATCGAATATTCTGTTGCCGTAAGCTTTTCTATCCAACGAGTTAAATAACATTAGAGGGAAAATCATTTGCAATTTAGATCTGTGTTCAGGAGGTATGAAAGGAAAAGATACATAGACTCCTCCTAAATTTTGAACTCCGGATCTTGAACCTAAGGGGTTGTTTGTTTCAAAGTCATCAAAGTAAATAATTAGAGGTAATACAAGCGAATTGATGTCTTTACTTTTTAAATATGTACACTTCGAATTCCAGAAAGATGTTTGCATTACATTTTTTATAACTTCCCCATCTAAAGAATTTAATGAGTTTGTATACGATAAAACGGTATCAATCAAATTTTCCATTTCAAATAGTATTTGTAAAATACTTTTAAGAGATATAAAAGAAACATTTACATCGACTGATTTTAAAATTACTTTAGATTTGTTGGCACTACGAAATTTTTCCATTCTTTCGCCGATTTTTATGACTGTGGTTTCTAGATAAAAATTAGAATTTTTATACGTTTTCATGCGAAGGTGTTCTGTCTGGCAGTCAGATAATGACGCTCTAATGGTTTGAAATACATCTTTTACAATAATTTTGGATTCATTGGATTCAATAAAGTTATCTGTTAAAAGCTTTTCAGCAGTGTGAAATGGTTTACTTTGAAGGAAGTTGTTAAATACTTCAACTGTTTTTTGAACTGATGATCTGCAAATGTTTTCGTTACTATATAATTGGCTTACAGTATTGAATATTTCCTCATTTAATTCCACTTCAAATTTTTGGAAACTTGCTTTTGCTGTATTAGCAGAGCGTTTCGTTTCTGTAAAGTGTACATTTTTTGTAGAAGTATTTGGTAAATCCTGGAAGCAAATCTCATCATTTGATGTAACAACGTTGCTTCCTAAAGATAAGTCTGAATTATTAATGAAATGGTTTTGAATATGTTTTTTAAATGAATTGATTTTTGAAAAATATCGAAAGGGTTCACAAGCGAGGCATTTCAAATTGACACTATCAAATTTGTGATATAATTTTATGTGTTCTATGTAGCTTTTAGCACACTTTTGATTTTGTTTACATAAGTAACAGTTCATTTTGTTGTTATTTTAGGCTACTTTCTATAACGATGACAGTTCTGCACTCAACGTTGTAACGCTTGTATAGCTTTGGTCGTATTCTGTGCAAATTTCGTATACATACTTCTGTATAAACGTCCAAATTGGTTTACATGCGTCCGCATACGCACAGTTCAGTGATTGTGTAATTTTGAAGCAAGCGTCAATTGCCAGCAACGCAGTCTCAAATAAAAATAACGTCTCATTGACAACAACATAAGCTGCTGTGATATTTTCTGCAATCGGATTATATAAATTTAAAAAACAAAATTAATTTTTCAATCAAAATGTACAAACCATAACTGGTACCAATCAAAATTATGCTGGGTTGCAGCGTGGCCTTTCTTTGTGCTGCATCGTTTTTTAGTTGCTTCACTTTCTCAAGTACTAAGTTTCCATCCTTAAGAATGTTTCAGTTTTTAAAAATAGATAAATAAAATTAATTATGCCAACTTACTTCATGCAAAGCCAAAAAGCAACCAGTAACCTCTTGCTTAGTCAATTTTCGCCTTTTTTTTGTCCCCTCACACTTGGTGTACGTGGAATTTGTGAGACAATGACATAAGATTAAAAAGCCTTTAAATTGGCAACTGCCATTCAAAATATCGGAAAGGTCCTTCGACTTTTTATTTTTGGCATACTTGCACAGTTTTCTTTCAATTTCAGGCCACAAAGAACTAATTTTGTCGGCACTTAGTGGATGATTTGTGTCGAAATCAACGATCAACAGTTCTGCTCCCTTCGTTGTTTGAAGTACTGGGAAATACTCAAAGTATTGGAATACGGAGTTTTGTGTGGCTAGCAACTTATTGCGTTCTTCAAGCGTCTTCCGCCAATAGTCCAATATTTTGAACCAAGGAGTTACATTGGTTTTTAAAAACTCAACACATTCATTGTGCATTGTATCGACCTCATCAAAAGTAGCAACTGTGGGATTTTGAGGTTTGCATAATTTGCTTTTTAAGTGGTTGTAGATATCCCACAATTTACCGGTTGCATTTCGTTTTATTTTTGATTGATATGGTGTATAGTACAATGATGAAAAGTTTTTTTCGCTTGGAAAATATTCCACAATTTCTGAAGTTAACTTCATAAACCGGTCTGTTGAGATTTTGAATTTTTTAGGGTAATTTAAAGCCTCAAACTCCTTGTAAATTATTACGCGCGCCAAAGTACTACGATGGAAGTTATCTAAATTTCCATTGGCTTTGTAAAAGACTTCAAGAAATTTTCCATCGGTACAATTCAGATAACTTGGCACGGTTTTTTCAGGCTGAGGTTCTGGACTGTATATTAATATGGAATTCGTCCCTGATATTGACGTGTCAGTCACATATGAATTCACCTCAATAGGTATTTCATTTGCTGTTACAGGCATCTAAATAAAAACACTTTAGGTATAGTAAATAGTAAATAGTAAATAGTAAAACAATAGTAAATAGTAAAACAATTTTCCCTACCTCAGAAAGAAATTCGTCATTAAATTTTTTCCAAAATTTAGCTCGCAGTCCCTGTCTGGGTATTAAATTGCATATTCCGTTATAGTCCAAGCTTTTGAACGCCTCCTCATCAAAGCCTTCTTCTAAAATAAACATAAACAAATTTGTTTATCTTTTGATTTCATAGTTGCATGCGCTAAAATGTACATATGTAACGGGTGATTTTTTTGAGGTTAGGATTTTCATGCATTAGTATTTGACAGATCACGTGGGATTTCAGACATGGTGTCAAAGAGAAAGATGCTCAGTATGCTTTGACATTTCATCATGAATAGACTTACTAACGAGCAACGCTTGCAAATCATTGAATTTTATTACCAAAATCAGTGTTCGGTTCGAAATGTGTTTCGCGCTTTACGTCCGATTTATGGTCTACATAATCGACCAAGTGAGCAAACAATTAATGCGATTGTGACCAAGTTTCGCACTCAGTTTACTTTATTGGACATTAAACCAACCACACGAATGCGTACAGTGCGTACAGAAGAGAATATTGCGTCTGTTTCTGAGAGTGTTGCTGAAGACCGTGAAATGTCGATTCGTCGCCGTTCGCAGCAATTGGGTTTGTGTTATTCGACCACATGGAAGATTTTACGCAAAGATCTTGGTGTAAAACCGT